AAAAATAAAAATATGCAACACATAAAATGAAAAAAATGTACATATGTCAATGCAAACAAAACACGATACATGCTTAATCATAAAGTTGCTCTTCCCTTGAAGAGCAACACAACCAGCATCATCAGAGCATTTCTCTGACTATAGAGATCACTCTTCTTAACCTAAATTTGTCTAGTAGAATATTAATTCTGGGTCAATTGAGTCACTAACTCGGTCAATTGACTTACTTGATTGGTAAAAAAGTCAATTCGACTATCAAAATCTCAATTTCTATTTCTAGTGAAATTAGGGATAAACTTAGGTCCAAAATTATATGATCGCTGATATCTATTCCTAGGTTGGTAGGCCTATTTCCTTGTTTAGGACTAGGAACATACTTAGGCTGGTTGATGGCAGGGACAATAATGATTTTGGAAGTGCTAGCTCTATTATGACTAGTTTTCTTATATCCTAGACCTCCCATTTCCCAACAGACTTGTTCAATCCTAAAAGATTGCCTAGTTTTTAAGATCCACTTAAGAAGGAATGTTGTTGAGTATTGGATTTCTAAATGTCACTTGTTAGGGTTTTAACCTTAGCCTCTAAGTTCTCTTTGACTAATCTTAACTCACTAAAGCTTTTGGTTGACCCCTGAAGGTCATATATAAATCTCTGTTTTTGGTATTTTAAGTATATTAATCTTCTTAAGCATGAGTTTATTCACCTTCTTAATCTTAAGACTCTCCTCAAATAATTGATGATAAGCTTCACGAATATCTTCCTCATCTGCAAATTCTTCCTTAGAGTGCTCACCACTTTCTACTTCCTCAACATTCTTATCGTTCTTATCGAATTCACTCCTAATCCTAGCAATGAAGGCCATAAACTTCCCTCTCATTATGATTGGACTTCTCACCTTGATTATCCAAGCTAGACTCGTCATCAGTAAGAGTTACATTCATAGCTTTCTCTTACTGTTAAACTTGCTCCTATGAAGTCTCACAGACTAGGATCTCCTTTTAGATTCACTAGAAAGACCTCTATGTCTCTCTTGGGACTTCTTTTTATTTCTAAACATTTTTTTCGAAATCTCTTAGAAAAATAAGATATCTCCTCATCATTAATGGTCTTTGTCTCAGTGGAGTCGTACTCTTCTTTCCTATCAGTGTTCAAGGCTATACACTTGTTCTTCTGAGTTTAAGATATGCTCACAAGCTTTAAGAGATCCTATTAATTTTTCAATTTTAATCATGTCTAAATTTTTACTCTCCCCGATAGCTATGATTTTAGGCATAAATTTCTCATGTAAGGATCTAAGGATTTTCCGTTTTTCCTTAGACTCGGGAATTCTCTCACCTAAATTGAAACTAGAATTAACTATCATTCAAGCTCACATAGAAGTCATTGAAGGTCTCATAATCCTTCATATTAATCTCTTCAAACCTACTAGTCAACACTTGTAACTTAGAGTTCTTAACAGCGTGAGCTTCCTCATGTGTGGTATCCTAAACCTCTTTCGCAACCTCTCACATAGACACACGCCTAAATTCTTTTGCTGATACAGCCATAAATAAAGCATGTAAAGCTTTCCCGTTCAAATTACACTAATTTAAATTAGTCTTCGACCTATTAGCTATAGGAGGGGGGTGACAACACCATTAACGGTCAATCATACCCATCGATTTCAAGAAGGCTCTCATTCTAACTTTTCAATAGGCATAGTTGCTGCCATCAAAATATGTCTGAACATACAATGAACTACTCATCTAGAAAACTAGGGTCAGAATTGTATTTTGACTTTCATACCACATGAAAGTTCAAATTTACCGAATATTTAGATCCAATGTACAGAATTACACAAGAAAAAGCAACAAGACACTTTTTAATTATTCTAAATATTTAGGTATTCAATTTAATTTTATCCTATGTTGAATTGTCACGATAGTAAATAAACTATAAATCATATAAGATTTGTTGACAAGGAAAATCCTTCACATAATTAAAAACTTCGGAACCAAGTTAATGACTTTCATTATAAATAATAATAACTTACAATATGATGCAGCCTAGAATAGACTTGCTGATCTAGTTTCTGTGATCTCCAATACCCGTTGGAACATATTTCACTCACACTTTCTCTCGATCTTTTAAAATTATCTATCTCATGTGGATTATCAAGAACACTTTGTTCTTGTACGTACTGTTCTTGTGCTTTTGGTCCAATCTCCTTCAATTTTCAGCAACCTTCGAATTCTATTAAGAAAGTGCCTTCCTAATTATATTTAGGAAGTGTGTATTTTAGATTATATGATTTTGATGTTTTTCCCAACTTGTGGTTTATCGATATCAAAATGAAGAATTGTTGTTTGATCTCCATAGAATATTAAGACGGTAGAAAATAATAATCAACCATCCTTTTTCATGAGGTGGGACTTATGTATTTATAGTAGAGAGGTATTGAGTTAGTATAAGATAGATAGAACTCTTGAAAATTGCGAACTAAGGTTTCTCGAAAAACACTGCCTCTTGAGCACGACCAAGTGATAGGTGTGTGTGTGTCGCTCTAGTGACAGTCAGGCGACAGGCGAGTGACAATGATTCTATTTTGGATGCTCAAGCATCAGCTTTGCGATAGACTAACATAATTCTAGCGACTCTTTTTTCATGTTTCATACTCGAACCCAAAAATTCCTAATTCATCTATATAACATTCCAAAAGACTCACTGACTCTTACTACTTTTTTATAATAATAATAATAATAATAATAATAATAATAATAATAATAATAATAATAATAATCATCTTGTTTGTTTAAAGAATAGTCAATACAAAATTAAAACCTAATAAGACGTATCATCAAGTGTTTCATTACTTGAATCGTAGAATTTTCAATACAATCTTCTAATGTATACAGCTACAAATCATTTTATCAAATATTTATTTAGTTTATATTTGATGGAGATTAAAATTTAGATTTGAATTTAAATCAAAGTCAACAATTAAATTTAACTACATATTTTATGGGACCTACAACTTTTTAATTGCAAATTTCATCGTCTTTTATCAAAATCTATTAAAAATCAAATTTTAATCCCCATTCAACAGGATTTAATGATAGCAACGTAGAATTTTCTAGACCAAAGGGGGAATAAAAAGACTGTAAGATTATAACAAAGAAAAGTTTATTATTCGGACAAAGTCAAGCCAATAAATCACGTGACGGAAGTCACGGAACCATGTAATAGCCGAGGAATGTGGTCGAATCTTTATGGTTTCTAAATTTCCACGAGTTGAGTGGGTGTGAGAAGTGTGGGGTGCGTGGGATTGGGGACAATTAGGTCAAAAGCATGGAATATTTGGACACGTAGAGGTAATATTGGTAAATGGAGAAATGAGTGTGTTGTGAACTTCTGCACAACTACTCCAGCACTCTTTTGATCATCGTGCCCTTTACATACATTCAAAATTTCAAATCTTGAGTAATGTCGGTTTCAAAAATTTCAAATCTTTGAGTCATATATGTATGGGGTCTGAAAGGACTAAATATATGCATATAAAAAAAGATTATTAAAAAAATAAAAAATAAAAAGAAGAAGAAAAGACTTTCACATTTTTTTAATTCTTTATATTATGGAAATCTAATATTTTGTGATGTGAAAATATCGCCCTCGACAAGAATGTACACGTTCATTCTTTTCTAAAGTTCTTCATATATTTTATTAATAGAGTTACGATGATCAATATAAATCTTGTACATCTATGTAGCTAACATTATATGCAGACAGGGTGAGAGAGACCATAGGGATGATGAGACTAGAAAAAGTTAAAGAAGATATTTGTGTTCATATAATTGTTTTAACATGGAAGTATATAGATAAAATATGAATTCACTTATGAAGTTTAGCCAATTTTAATCAGAGATATAGTTCGATTAATCAACTTTTTATCATTATGATTATTGCATGGGTAACCCTCATCAAGAAATTATTAGTTTTTCAATATGAATTTCGACTTTCTGTGTCACTCAAACCCTTTCAAGAAAATAAGAAAAATTGAATTCAGGCAGGGGCTGAGGAAGGGGTAGGTCTGGGCCAGGGCCAATAATTTTCTTAGGGAAAAAAATATTTTTTAATAATAATTTTTTTTTTTTTATAAGAGAAACTTTCATTTTTTTGTCTTTCATAAAATAATATTACATGTAAATAAAAAACTTTTCAATTTTTTTCAACCACAAATTTGTCAAAAAATACTATTTCAACCATTAAAATTTGACTAAGAATTCAATTTTCAATACCATATATTCCATGTAAAGTACACTCGTATAGAAAATAAAATTTTCGAAATATGAAACTTGGTATTGAATAAACACTTTGATACTCTCAACTTGCATATTCCACATGTATGTCTAAATTTCAATTAAAAAACTGAGCTTCCATTATAAATATGCCAAACAAAAATTCATTAGTAATGCTAGTTTAGGTGACACTAATGTGAATTAATTGATATGTAGAATTAAATAACTCATTTAATTTTACATTTCATTTAACCAATCATCTAGTTTTACTTAGACTGGCTACACAACATTTTTGAATGTACATCCCTGTTTGATCTCCATTAAATTAAATTATATCACATTCCATTTTTCTCTCTCTTATTTTCAACCACACAATCTTCCATAAAATAATATTACACGTAAATCGAAAAAAATTTCTCTTTTTTCAACCACTCATTTTTCTAAAAAATACTATTCCCCCCATTTTCATTTTCATGTAATGGGGATCAAACAGGGGCTAGGCTCATTTGGTTGATAATCCAAGTATATGTGACATTAAATAATAGGTACAATTAAATACGTTATTTAATTTTACATTTATTTAACCTATCATCTAACACCACAGACTCAACTTATAATATTAGTAGGGCGAAATAGCATTACTAAAAATTTATAGAGAATACTGAATACTTCGAGATTAATTGAAATTTCTTCCATTTCCTCGAAAACCAACCATTCCATTTCTCATTGGATACCTCCATTATATGTCTGTACCTATTTTTCTCATTCCCCATTACAATGATAAAGAAATCTCCCCCAACCCCCAGTGGAGAAATCTGTAATTCTTCTGTGTACTGAAATACAGAACTTTTTCCACCCCTAGAAACACTCCTTTTACTTCCTCCTTTCCCATAGCATTATTTATCTGCAAGTATTTGTAGTTTCTGCAATTCCTTTCAATTTTCAATCCTCGAGGTGTCCTACAAGAAAAAGCCTATTCCTCCCCTTCTCTTTTTAGATAACCATGCAAATCATAAGGTACTCATTATATAATCACAGCTTAACCCTCTTTTCTTTATAATTACTGTAATTTATATTCATCTTGATATGATCATGCTTTTCAGCTCAAATCAGATGATCAAAAGAGCGGCTTCAACGATGCCTGATCTGTCATTACAGATCAGTCCACCCTGGATGTCGAATTCCCCGAGATCTACGACTCGTTCTGCTAGCAGTGAAAGCGATCCAAGCCAAGAAAATGAGTTTTTTCACCCGGAAAGGAGTTCCAGAAATCCATATGTTAAGCCCAATTTGAGCCTAGGGTTTAGCCCTATACCAAGACAGTTTCAACATTACCAGCCGCAAATATATGGGCGTGATTTTAAGAAAAGTTGCAGAATGATGAATGGGATGATAAAAAGAAGTGTTAGGGCTCCCAGAATGAGATGGACCTCGACCCTCCATGCTCATTTTGTTCACGCAGTTCAGCTCCTCGGTGGCCATGAAAGTATGTATCAAATAAATTTGATGTGTCTGAATTATTGAAAACTATACATTTTTAAAGTTTAATCCTATGTTTGGCTCATTGTTTCTAGGGATTTATAAATACTTTGGTCAAATAACTTTTTACCTATGTATTTTGCAAAACCTATAATACTATCCACTTTTTCACCACTCATTTACCACGGTTTATAGACACATCATCAGACGTAGTTTTAGATAAAATGGTTAAAGAAGTATGAGCTCAAGTCTGACCATAGAACATTTATGAAAAATTGTGCAAGTATTGGGCCGTTGTTGAGTAAACCGTGACTCCTCACTAAAAGTTCAGCATTTTATATGAAATGGATCAACGTGGTATCAAAGTGACAAAATTGCCGAGTATAAATATCTGTTTATGAAAACTTATGCATGTTCAAAAAATTATGTTTCACCTCTAAAAATTTAATTTTTTTGATGAGAGATGGTTCAAAAAAATTTCTTGCACAAATTGCAATTCAATAGAAGATATTAATTTCTTGGTTTTTACTTTGTGACTGCCTTATCTATGAATTATTTTCTGGGAAAATCAGTTCCAATATTGTCCTTATTTCCTGATAAATATTACAGGAGCAACACCTAAGTCAGTTCAAGAGTTGATGAATGTCAAGGACTTAACCCTAGCTCATGTGAAGAGTCACTTGCAGGTGGGGTACTGTTTTCAATCAATTTTTTCTTGAATATAATCACGAAAAAATTGGGGGGAAAAAAAATCATTAGTTTCTGAAATTTTTTGCACTGCTATTACTCGTGAGAAGAGGAGCAAAGAATACAAGAAGTGAAGACAAAAGAGCATCTAGAGAGTAATCTTAACAAAGAGGACTTCTTTCTCTAATCTTTTTCTTTATGTGGGCGTTCATGCAGATGTACAGAACAGTGAAGAGCACTGACAAAAGAGCAGGTATGTATAATATTTATTTGGATTTTGCCTCTTTCGGGGTCCCATTTCTATTTGTCTTTCCATCATCCTCTTTGTTTGTGCTCCATAATGATGTTGGGGAGACAAACTTCTCTTAGTTGGTCTACTCTGTTCCGAGTCTCAAATAAAATTCAAGGGAAATGCTATTTGTACATTTGGATCGACGGATTAGCGTCAACCTGTAAAAGTAGCATATCCCAAAACTTAATTACGGCCATACTAACTTAGATAAGACACATCATCATAACTAGGCCCTTGTTTGAGAACCATTAAAGAGAAATTTTTTTTTTTAAGAAATTTGTTTAAGAATATTGATTTTTTGAAAATGTGTAGTTAAAAAGTAGGACAAATATTGGATCTGCATGCAAAATATTTTATTGTGAGAAAGTGTGGTTGAAAATGAGTTTGAGAAAAAAAGTAGTTTTTTAATTGTCAAACATGGACTAATATCAATTGATCTAATCCATGTTTGATTTAGTTAGAAATTAATTTTCTATTTAAATTTTAATAAAAATTAAGAGAATAAATGATTGAACTATAAAATGTGATTGAAATTGAATTTAGAAAAAATGAGTTTTAAAAAAAGGAGCGAAACATGAGCCTTATCTCATCTAAACTATAAGATTGTACACGATAATTGATAAATTTTGTCTTAGTTCATCTAATATAAGAATAATGTTATTAACATATGTAAGTCTAGCATCAATCTAAGCGCTTGTTTGGTAGAAATGTTGAGCCAATTAAAATTAATTTTTTTATCGTTATTTTACTATTCCAACTGTCATTTTTGAATTCTTCTCTCACAGGTAGAACTCACTTTATCTCTAACGGTCAAAAAATCAATTAACAAAATTCCCACCAAACAAGCTCTAGATAACAGTTGAGGTCCATTTAGACTTGCCAATTTAAGAGCTTGTTTGGTATAGCTATTAATCCAATTAAAATCAATTTTTTGACCGTTATTTCACTATTTCAGCCGTCATTTTTGAATTCTTCTCTCACAGGTAGGACCCACTTTACCTCTAACGGTCAAAAAATCAATTATCAAAATCTCTACCAAACAAGCACTAACTTCACTGAATCATTACAGGTGGACTTCTATGTAATAATGATTCATTTGATAAGACTTTTGAGAAGTCAAAATGAGTTTTTAAGATCCAAAAATTACTTTTGAACTCGTATAACAAATTTTATAAAAATATTTCATCTAGTTAGAAGAATTTATATATAAAATTGGTTCAATGTGTCTTTCTATGAAAACATTTTCAAAATAGGAAACTCTTTTAAAAATTCGGATGCATTTGATTTGCTATTTTTAGGTCTTTTTTAGTTTTACAAAATATTGAAAATGTGTTTAGTCTATATCTTTGAAAATTCATTTTTGAAAACACGAAAAAGTTTATAGCATAAAATTCAAAATATTTTTTTTTTGACGTTTTGATTATTTACGGTGCAAATTCTGAAAACACTCAAAACATAGAAACACAAGAGTTTAAATAAAATTTTATAAAATAAATTCTAACAAATAAAATTTAATTAAAAATAAAATTGATAAATTATCAAAAATAAAATTCTTAAATTTTTTTTATGAAAATCACTTGATAAATAAAAATAGTTAGATCTGAATTATTATTGAAATAAAAATTTCTCGAAATAGAATTTTGTAAGAATAAAATTATAATTATGAAAAAATAAAATTACAAAATTTCTAGAAAATAAAAATTATAAAAAAATAGTTCAAACTCTTAATAGTTATTCACATAATTATTTTTTTTAAAAAAATCTATATGTATATAAACGAACCCAAAAATAAATAAATAAATAAAAATTCAATCCACATTATTTACTTTAATTTTTATTTCCTATATTTTGAAAACTCAATTATTATTATTTCTTTTTTTTCCCAATTTTGTAATGAGTAAACTATTATAAAATACACCAACTTTAAAATGTACATATTACTTAATAATATATTAATATAAAATTATTTTATTTTTATTCGATATTCAAATTTAATAGAATAAAATGTCATAAAATAATTTTTCAAAATTTCAAACCAAACATATGTTACTAGTTTTCTATTTTGAGAAATTATTTTTCAAAATGCCAAATTAAACATGTTTTTAGAAATCTTAAAATAGACAATCAAAACAGAAAATTGAAAATGAATTTCGAAACTCAAAATTAAAAATCGAAACACATACCAAACAAGCTCTTAATTTCCAAACAAAAATTAAGGTAACTTTCTCAAGAAATTTTTCTACATGAAGCCAAAATAGAAGCAAAAGTAAAAGTTATGTCAAATAGGTTCTCAAGTGATGCAAAATAAGATTACTCTATCCTAAAAGCACATAATTACTAGTTAGGACATAATTATCTTAGGCAGACATGACGAATGGAGAATTTTGTCTAAATTAGTCGATCTAGATTGATTTAAATAGAACTAGCATGAAAACTAATAAATTTTGTAGTTGATTTAGTTTATTTCTTTGTCTTAACTAACACATAGTAGTTACGACTCAATTAATAAGATTAAACAGGATAGCTGATATATTTTCTCAATTGTATTCGTTAAGAAGTACCATGAGTGTGTCTTATAAAGCAAGGGCAATGGCTTCATGATTTATAAAATGTTGCAGGTGAAGGGCAAGCAGAAATGGGACTGAAACACAAGGCAAGGATTGAAAATGAGGGAGGACTAATTTTTGATAAGGATATAACTAGCAGTTGTCACTCAATATTCCCATTACAACCACCAACTTCATCATTACCTTCAACTACATTACAAAATGCACAGAGGTGAGTGCATTCTGATGCTTCACTCTTCTTTTACTTTTCTTGCACATGCATTTTTCCATCATTATTACTCTTTTGGTGTTGGACCAACGAATGCACTTATAACACCGGTTCTACTTCATTTTCGAAGGAATAATGTTATCTAGTCTCAGTGATGTTATAGCACCAATCTAGGAGGCCACATATAATGGGTTCAATTAAATGAATTATTTGACATTATATTTAAATTAATTTATTATTTAATACCGTGCAGTTGCAACCTAAATTCATGTTTGACATATGGTGCTGAATAACATTACTCTTTTGGGAGTCCAAAATTATATCACTAGATATCAATTTACATTACTCATATTTAAGGTCTTACATCCAAAATATGAATATAATAATTAGCACAAAAAAATCTTGATTATTCTTTTAAGGTAAAATTTCAAAATTCACTATGACAGAACTAATCTTCCGTTCACAGAAGGCAAGAATGTAGTGTCAAATTATTTGTTTGTGATGACTGATGACGTCGGTGGACATTATATCAGTAGATCAGTTATGTTCAATACGATATCAAATTTAACAAATTCGAACAAATAATTTGATCCAGAATTGAAGGTCAAATAGTCAATTTAACAAATCTCCATAACGTTGTAATAAAGGTTCGTTTAGCTAGCCCACTGCCCCGCAGTGGTAGGGGTCCCATGTAAATAGTTGAGAGATTATTCAATGTTCCATTTTATTAGAGGTTGACTCTTCAAATTCTTTCAGCAGAAGAGAATAGAGATGACAAAATGGGTCCTGTACAGAGAGCTCCTCTACATAAAAGGTTTGACCATGTCTGAGTGTCGTGTCGACTTGTCATTGTAACTGAGTAGTGTCGGGTTCGATTGTGGGGAGCATGTGACTTGTCTTGATCGTGTTGCTAGAAAGAGTTTGTAATCCTTATGGGACCGTCACAGCCCGTAGACAACTATAATCGAGGATAATTTAACTAAGTTCCTGTTTGATGGTCATTAATTGACAAAAACAAAGTTTAGAATACTGAGTTTTTAAAGAAAGTGTTATTAAAAAGTAGGAAAAAGTTTTGAGTTTTACTTGCAGAATATTTAATTGTGTGAATGTATGGTAGAAAATGAGTGTAAAAAAAAAAAAAAAAAAAAGAGTTTTGAAATAAAAGATATCAAACGGGGACTAAAATTTGTGATTTAACATGAACAACACATCAAAGATAAACCCTATTTCTTGTAATATATGACTGAATAGGATTAATATATTATGTATGCACAACGACATAATTTTTTCTTTCCAAAATTGATAATATAGGAAATAATTTATGGAGTATTTTTTAATAGTACATTTTTCAAGGTTCATAATCACAAATGCATCGTTACAAGTTTAGAGTTCTTTATTTTCTTTAACTTCAGTCTTCTAGACTGGTAAAGCTCCGTTACTTCATTTGCTTGGCTTTGCACATCCCTATCTTATATATCTATATATTTTTATTTATTTTCATATTAGTTAAAACTCCACTTTCAAAATTTTGTTTCAATACAAAAAAAATCTATGTTTATTAAGTTTCAAACACTAATAGGACTATCTACCGCAGCAAGGTTTCATGGGCATCCTCATCGCCTGAAGAATATGCATGGAGCCTCTCAAGTCAAGAAAATGCCTCAACATTTTTTCGTCACGTATTAAATGTTACCAAGGTATAACTTTTATTTATTTGACAATTGTGAGTCTACTTTCATCATTTTGTTTAATTTACGGTTAAATATGCTCACAAATTATTTTCTTGAAAGGTGGATGGACTTGAGGAAGCCCACGACATGTCAAAAAAGGATAAGCTAGACAGTTCAAGTAGCTCATCATCTTCTTCTGCTTGTTTCCTTAATCTTGAGTTTACACTATGAAGCCCAAGCTAGCAATCTTGAGTTTACACTATGAAGCCCAAGCTAGCAAATGAACTACTCGAAATCCTTCATTCTCAAGTGCTAGAATGCGTTGGATTAATGTTTGGGAGATTCCCATGAAAATGTTTAGAAGATTTCCCTTCACTAAATAAAATATTCTTTTCAAGAGTTTTTTAATTTTATTTTTTGGAATTCCTCTCTAATTTTTCAGTTCTTACCCAATATGATTGGTAGATGTAGAAGGCATATTTAGTATATAGCCTCTGCTTGGGTTTCATTTTATTTTGTTAAAATTCTACTTTTCAAGAAATGAGTAGTTGATAAGTAGATAGTAAATATGGGTCTACGAAACATGTGGTTAAAATTATTGTTCGACTTAGAAAAGTAAAATTCTAAAATAAATTGAAACCCAAATGGAGGCACAATATTAGTAGATATTGTCTAGAATTATTGACTATTTCACCCTGCCAAATAAATAAACTAGTAAAGTAGAGTTAGAGAGTCCAGATTATTGTTTTACAAAGACTATAATTGGTTTCACTATACCTAACTTCTATTTGAGTAAAATAAAATCAATTGTTTGTGATAATTAATCTAAAAATAATTAAACTACAAAAATAATTAAAAATTGTACAAAATCAAATATTTGGATTTTAACTTATGTGCAAAAAGTGTGAGTTCTTGAATTCACCATGGTTAATTTCCTTAATCCCAACAACAATCAATTTTGTGTATCCAGGTGAATTCAGAAAATTAGTTGATTTTACCTCTCTTAAATTCAAACTAAAATTACTTAATTATGTCAATTCATTTTATTTGTGTGTGAATTTGAATAAGTCTTAATTAAGCGCATTCAGTCATAAATAAATCCAACTAAGGACCACAAAGTTAGTAAAAGTGCATCTCTATAATCTATCAACATTATGATTTTCAGTACGAGTCTTAAGGAATAACTCAACTCTTGACTCATTATTGATTACAAACGAATGAAATAGATGCCAATTATTTTCAGAGCAGTCATGATGGATACCAAAGTAGTAGCGAGTTAAGTAGTAATGGATGGAAAAAGAAGGGCAATGGTAGGTCTAGATTAAAGTCTAGGACTAAGGTTAGAAAATACTATAGCTGTGAAAACACAGGACATTTCATAAAGGATTGTCATAAGGAGAAAGGTAAGCTATAGGTTAATGAAAGAGATAAGGTCTACGTGTTATCCTCTACTTCCGATATAAATAACGGTGAGGTATATATGATTACAAGTCTCGTTGCATACACTGCTGATTGAATCTACCTACTAATTCCCGCATGCATGAGTGAATACTTGATTTTGGTGTATCTTTTTCATGTGACATCTGAAAAGAATTGGTTTGACAACTTGCATGAATATAATGCTGGGCATGTTGTGCTGTGTAATAACTTTTCCTATATGATTGCTGGAATTGGTGATATAATATAAAATTTGACATTGGCTTTGTGTACATTTTAAAGGATGTTAGCTATATTCCTGAATTGTCTAAGAATCTGATTCTAGTAGGGAGACTTGAAAATGATGACTTCACTGGTAAAATTGGAAATGGAATGCTAAAAATGATTATTGGTGCATTAGTTTCTATTAAGGGAACTAAGAAAAATGACATTTACATCACTACTGGGGAAGTGATTAGAGGGTTGAACTCCTCTATTTCTTCTGCCAAGGTTGATCACACACATACATGACATGATAAGTTTGTGCATGTAGGCATTAAGGGACGTAAGCTACTTAATGAAAAAGGTACATTTAATAATGACTGTGTGTCTGACTTGTTATTTTGTGATCACTGTGTGCTCGGTAAGCATCATAAAACATCGTTCTCCACTAGTATTCATAAAGCTAAAGGCATGTTTAAATATGTACATTCTGATATGTGAGGTCCTGCTAGTAATCCCATATCAGGTGGAAAAAGATATTTCATATCTATTATTGATGATTTTACTAGAAAAGTGTGGGTCAATCTTTTAAAAGATAAATCTGAAACTTTCCACAACTTTAATAATTGGAAAAGACAAGTGGAAAACCAAACTGACAAAAGGATTAAATTTTTAAAGACAGATAATGGCTTAGAGTTTTGTAACACTGAATTTGATAGCATGTTTAAAGAAAATAGAATAACAAGACATAAGATGGTTTCTTACACTCTCCAGCAAAAGGGGTAGAAGAAAGGATAAATAGAACCATACTTGATAAAGTGCATTGCATGATGTTAAGTTCTGGTCTCCCAAAGCCATTTTAGGGTGAAGTTGTTATGAGTGCCTATTATTTGATTAACTTGACTCCATCTGCTGCATTAAATGCTAATACTCCGCATGAAAGGTGGTCTAGTAAATTGAGTATTACTCTACACTTAGGACTTTTGGCTATATTATTTTTTCTCATCAGAGCGAAGGAAAACTCGAACCTAGAGCTAGGAAGTGTGTCTTGAATGATTATGTGATAGTGTTTTCTGATAGTCAGTCATCTATACATTTATGCAAGAACCCTATTTTACGAACATACTAAACACATTGACACTATACTATACTTTATTAGAGATATAGTATCTCAAGAGGTGGTAAGGTTTGAGAATGTCCACACACAACACAACCCTTTAGAAATGGGCACGAAAGTGCTACCACTGGTAAAGTTTAGAAGTTGCAATGATATTCTAAACATTGGTACAGGTAAATGATTTCCTATTTTATTAGTTTTTCTGTTAGAGGTGTCACTAATGGGAGATATTTTCTTTCGCAGGTCCTTTGATACCAAGGTAGAGGTTTAGACAATTTGTTATCAAACGACTCGTTTGAGCTATGATGTTATTCGGTTTTAGTTTTCAACCGGCTTAGCCAAATGGCTGAATGTAAATTATAACACCACAACCGAGACGACAGGACCCAAAGGTTAATTGGGTCATTCAAAGCAACCTAAATATTTTAGTATTACTCATTGCCCAATCCGCTTTATTGGATGGCCATAATTGAGAGAAATTACTTGTGAGCACATTTATTTACTTATTGGGCCTCTACATTGACCCAATAGCTAACCTAGTTATTCTTACCATACTTGGGCCACTTTACTTGATATATTGGGTCTCCTTCTTTCTTTGCAAGAGAAACCGTCACCTGCCTCTCTGTCTGTGATTCGGCCGCTTGCAATTTCTTCTACTCTTCTGCCTTCTTTTGATTTCTACTTCTAGTGGTGATAATATATGAGATATTGTGCACCTTTTTGGTCTACTAAATGAGCTATCTCAATGGCAACCGAAAGTGAAAGCTTTGTTATTGTCTTGAATCGTTCTTGTCAGGTTGTGGTGTTTGTAGTTGGAAGAAACTGTGCCTAGGCAAGACTTGGTGCTCAATATACGCTCAACAATTATATATCTATTCCCATTAAATTTTTATTAAAAAAACTATTTTCATCCACTCACATCTTAAAATTATAGTTATTAAATTCTTTTTTTTTAAACATTATACATCCACACCATATTCCTTCATAATCCTTTCATATTTTTAATCATTATCATCAATATATAAACTATCAAATTTTTATACTTATTTTTATATTCCTGGTAGATTAGTCACCATTGCTTTGAATTCAAGAAAAAAAAAATGATAATCATAATAGAAAATTCAAATTCTTATTTTGATTATGCTAGCCGAAAAGATAGGCGATATTTTCAATTTGAGAAAATCAAGAAAAGAAAAGATAACCCCAAAATAAAATTCAAATAATTCTGAATGAAAATTTTTATTGATACTACCACTACAACAAAAATGACATTTTGCAGCACATAAAATGCAATATTTGTTAATGGAGCGTTGCTAAAAGAGCCTATCGTGCAAAAATGATGTTTGACTAATGGCAACATACACATACTATAAGAGCGTTGCTAAAAGAGCATTTTAATTAAACAAATATTGTCAAACATTATAGTATGTGTATGTTGCCATTCGTTAATATAATTGATGTTTGACAATATTTTTTTAAATGTTTGTTGCTAGTGTCTTCTTTAACAATGTTCTTTGACTGTTGGCAAAAATTTACATATTTCACATCTTTACAACATTTAAATAACGTTGTTAAAATCCCATCCTATAGATACTTGTCTTGCATAATGCTAAACAATTGATATGTGGCTCTTTTGCAACGTTTGTTGACTATTTCAAAAAATATTCTTTAGCAACATTCACTACTTCTTGTTAATACTTTTTGCAACATTAATATTTGGCAATGTTCATTGTCTGTTGTTGAAACTATTAATAATTTATGGCTATTTTGCAACGTTCATTAACTGTTGAAGATACATATTCGTTAGTAACGTTGTTGTATCTTTTTACATCAGTCTTTGAACACTGATTTATATTTTTACTCTACGGCTATATCGAAGCTTACAATATACGTTCGAATGTTGCAAAGGATCTTTCATAAATTTTTTGCTCAAAAAATAAGTATTAGTGGATGAATTTAAAGTGATATATTTTACTTTAATTTTATAAATGTCTATTTAAATAAATTTACATAAGGCTAAAGATATATTTTAAAAATAAATGTATCCCAACATTAATCTCTATGTTATGGTATGAAAAATGTATTATGGAAATCCCCTTCTGAGTCGAGATCTGCCGTTCATTCAATTAATTCTTGACATGTTATCTCAAATTTACTCTCATTAACTTCACCATTAGTCTAGTAAATTGATGATGTGTTAAGAATTAAATGGATGGAGAACAAAATTAGACAGTAATTTTTAAATTGTTTGACCTAGATGTAAATAGCGCTTCCCAAAATTAATCTCTATGTTATTATATAAAAAAATGTCTTGTGGTATATCTCCTTTTTTGTCTTAAGTTTACATTTTACATATCTTTTGATAAACTTTGAAAATCTCTCCCTTGAGTTTCATCAACCCTCAAAGCGCATTTCGAGGTCATGAGTTCAACTCTTTTTTATTTGCACAACTTGTCCCTCAACTACTCGTTCCCAATCAATTTAGTACTTCAACTTTTGACTTTATTCATTTAAGTTCTTGAACTTTTAATATAATCATAATTGGTCCTCCAACTTTCCAATATGACCAAGTAGGTCCATCATCCTTACCAAGTTTCAATTTTAGTCCCCAAAAGTGATGAAACATTCTAGTTAGCTTCAACTTTGTACAATTGAGTCCTCGAACTTCTTAGCAATCGTTCAGTTCCATCATTTCATCCAAATTAAGATCTAAATCACTTCCTTTTGTTTAATTCTACTCCAAGTTGGGGATACAACCCACAAAAGTTATATACAACATAAAGTGAGTTGAAAATTGTCCAGTTAATCAAATTTTAAGTAAATTTACCGATTTTAAAAATTGTATAAAATAAACTCATCACTATACTTCATATTTTATTGAAGGTAGAAATTGTGGTTTTTGACAACATGTTATCACCATTCATAATCATTATCCTATTACTAATGGCACTGATGAAAATATAGAGCACATTGGGAGAAATCCTCAAACAAGAGGGCTATAAATTTTGTTTGTTAGATCTTTATTTATAATTGACTATTTCTTAGACAACGTTAAAGTAATGAAGTTATAATTAAAGTCAAAAAGTTAATGGGTTGGTAATATATTTCTTGACGGAATTAAAGAGCTCAAAGATGTCCAAGAAGATCATATATGATCAATGTGATGTAATTAGAAGTCAAATGAGGGTCAAAGTGTGACACAAGTCATGCTCCAAATTCTCAGCCACAAGTTGAGATGCATTTAATTAGACATAGAAAACATTCAAATTTGAAATATGCTAATTGAAGACCTTTTTTCACTCTCCTAGTTGGTAGGTTTCTTTCCTCTAGAAGAATTTTAGCATTTTGAGTTGGCTTTTCAATGCATTTTGAATCACCTCAATTTAACATCGAAAGAGAAATATATGATAAAAATACTGACAACTGCTTAGATGCTTGTTGGCTGCTAGAAAAGCGCTCGAGTGGTTGACTTTTCTAGGCAGAATTTTATTCGCAATTTTAACTGAGTTTCCATTCATATTCAATCTCAATCACTTCATTTTATAAATACCCAAACTTAGTCCATCTTAAAGGTGTATTGAATCATTATTTTACATTAGAAATTATACTATTGAAGATCCAAAATCCATTCCAAAGATCTCACTTGATCAATTATTCATAATTCATCCCAAACATTGTTTCATTATTGATTGAGTCTTAATTTTAGTCCAAAGAACATCCTATGAAAATCAAATCCATATTTCAATATTTTCTTGCCTCGGCTACAGATCAAAACACGAAAAGATCTAAAGATCAAACACAAAAAACTCAACGTTTCTCTATAAGCTTTCAGATTCTGAAGTCAAAAAGAGCGATTAGGAGTTCCAGCACTTCAAAATGAGTTTGTCCTTGGTAATCTTCAAGGAGCAAAACGTAGCCTAGAGTTGCTAAAAAATGCAGGTCACATAACCAAATGAGTTCTTTGATGATTTACATGTTAGGTGGTTAGAATCAGCTAAAGTTTAATAGTATCTGGACAAATTGTAAGTTAACTTTTCTAGTGAACTTTACTGGCAAGTTTGTCCGGTGGTTCTTGATCCTGGGAAAGGGTTTTTCTCCGTGATCATATCCGATGTTATTTACTTTATTGTTTCTAATATATATGTTTATGTGATTGTTTAGCACTACAAGAATTTTATGTTTTTCTTACAAAATTTATTTGTAGGGAAGTTTTCGTATTTGTGGGAAAAAAACATTTGCAGAAAAATAAAATAAGATTTGTAAGCACATTTGTTGGGCAAATATCGAAGGGATAGGTATAAGACGACAAATTTTTAAAATTAGTGGGCTAAAAGTTTTCTCTATGAAACCTTTGGAGACGAATATAATATGTTGCGCAAGTTTTCTCCCAACAAAATCATTCATGCAGCTAAAGTTAATTTTGTCTACAAAACGATTTTGTTTTTCCCTACAAATTATGTAGTGGGCTAAATAATATTTTTCCATATAAATAAGTTTTTGTGCGAAAAGAATATTTGTGGGCTAAGATATATACATTTTTTCCAACAATTAAAATTTTGTTGCAACATGGTACGGATTATTTTATTGGCTAAACCACGTTTTTCCCTACAAATAATTTTCATAGAGAAAGCATATTTATAGGCTATTATGAAACAATTCGTATGGAGAACTTATATTAAGACATATAGTGTCAATAAATGTAATATTGAATCCAAAATATCTCATTGAAACACAAATAAAAACCATTCACTAAGTATGATTACATTTAAATTATAAATAAATAAATAACGTATAGCAAACATGCTCTATATCTATTACCTTGCACTTAAAGAAATAACTCTTCATCCTCGTGAATTAGATATGCAGTTGATTCTCACCAAAGTTATTCTCTTCGTACTCAATAAGACAATAACATTCATTTTCCTCATTAGCATTATTCTCTATTGACAATGGTGTAAATGGTGGTATAACGAAGCCAGGAACTTTACCAAATAGCTAGTGCATAGAATGATGTGAAGGCTGCAATGTATAATTGAATTGTTGCTCAACAACATTCTGCTTGTTTTGCATCATTTGCTTCATACACATTCGAGCTACATCGACTATCTTTACAGTGTCTGTTTTTTGCCTGAGTAGCTCGTCCAATACCTCGACAGAAATGGGTGAAGGGTATGGGTTGTTTATGGATCAATACATCTTATAAATACCTCTTAGCCTTGGTAGGAGGCAGCTTTCTGATGGCATGGGCAGTCTCCCTTGTGTCAAGTAAAGATAGTGGAATATAACATAATAGCAATCAATAATAGTACTGATTTCGAATCATAAACCGAAAGAAAAATGATCAATAATGCAATCGACAAAGTAAGCCATGATTATGAGAAGAAAGATCTAATACAGAATCAACTTTAACAAACACCAATTTCTAGGAAAGCGTATAATACATTATTTGAAAAAAAAAAAAAATACAGCCAGCAAACTAGGATTATGTAAAAACTTGAGACTTCATTATTAAAATGGTGCATAAGTGATGACAGTGAAGTTTATGAAAGACAGAAAGTTAACTACGCACACAGCATAGAATAAAAAAACATACAACACCTTTAATCGTTAAAAATTTAGTAACTTCTAAACACATAGAAGGTGTTGGTCTCAATAGATGATGCATTTGAACTGTCTTCAGATAATCCAAATGCTTCCAAAATAATTCCAATGGACCAGAACAATATTTAGTAAAGGAATGTTATATGACGTGGACTAAACAACTAACTAGTTTTGTCATTTCGCAAAGATACCATATCTTCTATATAATCAAGTACAGGAAAACTCCAAAAACACTACGAAAGAACTCATATTTGTATCAACCAATCAATAAAAAACATAGCATTTTTCTATCCAAAAATAAAAAAAGAGCAAAAGAGTCTCCATTCGAAATTATTGAGCAATGTCCATCGGAAGTACCCGATCACGTTGGCTCCCTCAATGATTGTTTTAATCAATTCTGCTAAATAGCCCTTGTAGTAGTTGATTTTTGTGGTATCATGCAAAGCCTCAAGTGTTAAATTCCCTGGATCATCCATTCCTGATAATCATATGAACATGATTTAGCATTCTTGATAAATTTTCACCTTAACACAAAACTCCAATGAATATCTAATACAAAATGCTCCATTCTTAGCAAAAATCATGGTAGGACTTCCAAAGCCCTCTTTAACATAGTTAATAGCTATGTATAGACTCCATGGTACAATGTAGAGCAAATCATACACTCTCTGATTATAACGAATTCGTAGTGACATTTTTATCAACAAAAGGTACCTAATAAAGTTTGGCTCAGTTTTGTAAAATATATAGTTTGAGCTAAGTTACCCTCGAACTAATAGCACTACATGACGAGCATCTGGAAAGGCAACGAACAAGCTTATTTATATAGTAAATGTAAATATTGATTCCAATGTCAAAAACAAAAGCACGAGAGTATCTTACAACAAAATCCAACTTCCAATTCCTACTGGTATCCAAGGGGCTTTGTCTTATCTCGATGTGGTTCCATATTATAAGTAAAGTATTGATTTATGCCCACGAAATCAAATGATCCTTTACCATCTTAACCTGTGGTTGCCTTTTTTGGAACAATACTCTGAATCGTTTTTAGATATTCACCATATACAAGAGGATACATGAACCTGTGCACATTAAAATGGTAGGATATGCTTATGGCTCTATATCTTAAAAAATTTCAAATAATTGAGAAAGGAGAAACCGCCTTTCCAATCTATATCCCCTGAATAAACAGTAGTCTCAAAGAAAATATTTTCAGTAAACGATAACTTTTAATTAAACACAATCTTGAGTTAAAATCTATAAACTTTCAACAAGAACTACTGTTATTTGTTCTTACCATCCAATGTGAAGTCTCTCGCCCTTTGGCAGCAAAATTGTAGGCTTTAGATCTCATCATTGGTTCATACGAAATACAAAGGAATAGCAATTCAACATACCAAAAGCCTTCATTGGATTATTAAATGTAGAAACCTTCCATACGTTAGAGGTAAATGTGGAGTCCTGACCATGGGTGCATTTATGAAATTGTCAAATTACTTGGACTTGGAGAGGGATTAGAGCGGTGGTAGTGATCGACGAATCAAATAGGTGATTTGGGAAAATTTTAAATTTTAAGACACTTGGAAAGGAAAGGTGAAAAGGGTTTGGGTGGAAATCGAAGATGACTGATTGAACGACTTATTGATGACGATGTCACCGGCTGAAATCTGTAAACAATATCAATTAGGCTAAGAGGAGAAGAATGAAAACAAAACGTAAAGGAAAGGAAAGGAAAAGGAAAGTGGGGGGGGGGGGGGGGGTCTGGGAAGAAAGAAAGAAAGAGGGAAAAAAAAGAGAGAGAGAGAGAGAAAAATAGTAATAAGAGAAAAGAAAGTAAGAAACTTTTGGTGAAAACTTTTTTGAGAATGAGGGTTTTTTTTTTGGATTTTGTTAAAAAAATAATTAACTTTTATCTTTCAAATTATCTTTTCACTGCAAAGATACATTTCGTAAGGACTAAAATTAAAAACAAAAATTGAAAAAATTTTCCGCTAATTATTAGGTTACAAACATGTCAAAAGTTCTGTTTGCAAAAGATATATCTTGCCCATCGAAATTTTTGTTGGCAAAAATACGAATTTTTGTAGGTAGAAGTCTTTCCATTATTTAAAATTTTGAAATAAATCATAGTCCTACGAAATGTCATATTTGTGGGGAAAATTGCACTCCGTCTACAAATCTCAATCAAATTTGACTAAAATTTCACCAGAATTTTGTTCATTATGCATTTCCAATCGAATTTGATTAAAATTTCATTTGAATTTTGTTAATTGGCAGGTTTCCAAGATCCTTCAGAGAATTCTAGAATCTGTAAGTCAAAAATGAAATCATTCCATGATAAAATTCATTTAATTATTCCATCAAAGCAAAAACTAAATTATTTAATTAGGACCACAAAAGTTCAAATCAAGACGAAAAGGTGATAGGGGAATGTGACCAAAACCCTGGTGAAATTTTGGTCAAACTTGATTAGAAACGCGTCAACGAAAGAAAGTCATTCGCATGTAGAGTAGAATGCTTGTTCAGGCGTAATCGGAGGATCTGCGTCCTCGTAAATGGCTAGCCCCTTATGCTGGTGCTTTCCTACTTAAAGATGAGGCAGTAATTGACGGTACAGACGAGAAAAATATGTACAATCTTTGTTGATTATTTTAATTCCGTATATTTAGGTCAAAATATATTCTTAACAAGTGGTATTAGACCTTAATTGCAATCCATGATCAAATTTTTATCTAGATGAGTCAATCACATTTTGACGAAGGATCTAAGGATGATATGAATATATATGAGGCTTATAACCAACTATATAAAAAGAGTATCAATTTACATAGGTTATTAGACCAGTCTTTCAAAAACTGAATGAAATTAAATTAGAACAAGAAAGACTTATACTTGAGAAGTCTACTAGAGTTCTGGACGAGTTGAGGGTTGAGAAGACGTCCGTAGAAGTTAAGGTTAAGACTCTTACGCGCAATCTTGAAAAATCAAATACCTAACTTCAATCTTCTCTAGCGGATCTAGAAGATTGATAGTATGATAGGTCTCAATAAAACAGCTAGGAATAGAGGAGATACAAGCATTAATGAAATAAATTCTCATATGGCTTCCTCCTCTAAAAAAAGTTTGTTTCTGTCTCAAAGCCTAAAGTTCAAAACTTGAAACCTAAAGTTTTTTCTAGATTCATCCCCATGTATCACCATTGTAATAAGTTAGGACGCATATGACCTAAGTGTTGCGAGCTCTTGAGAAAGAACAAGACCAAAAATGTAAGTGTCCAAAGATTGAAATCATATGTACAACATAGATTTCCTCCACCTAAGGCACAAAATTTGAAACATAGGATTGCTCCTAAATTTATTCCCACATGTTATAAATGATATGAGTTAGGTTACATAAAATCTAAGTGTTGTAAGCCCTTGATTAGGATCAACAAACAAGATCTAATTACTCATGTTAGATTCTTGACTAATCAAGTTGTTTGACTGACTAACTGACTAAGATAACATCTTCATCTAATAAGATTTGGGTAAAAAAGAATGAATTCTCTAGTCAAAGTAATGATATTAATTGCTGTATTGCTCGTGTTTCTCTTCATGTTAAGAGCGTATGGTTGCCTCTTTGAGTAAGTGATTAGGTACATTATTTATGGTACGTATAAGTTCATGCATGCACATTTTTTCATTGATTATTATTATTATTATTATTATTATTATTATTATTATTATTATTATTATTATTATTATTATTATTATTATTATTATCATCATCCTTTTTTTTAAGAAAAATAAAATTAGAAATTATGGAGAAAAAAGGAGAGGGGAAGGAAAAATGATTTTTTTAATGATAATTAATTTTTGGACATGTTATTTTATGGTCAATAACTAAAATAATCAATGGATAGTGAATAAAGTTTTCATTAACTTTGTTTAGAGAACTTGTTTGAAGTATCTGGTATAGATTATTGCATGTATCATCTGCACTACACACATTAAATTCGTGTGAGTGGGTTTTGACTGTATGTAGGAGATTTGGATGGTGGTCATTTGTGTGGTGGGTTGACTTGAATATAGACCTACCTTTGACTAGTTGACATATGTTCTTGTATATTCACCATAAAAGAAAATGAGTGTTGAGATTCAAAAAAATTGAATTATTTGTCATACATTATATTTTTCTTTGTAGCCTTTTTTACACGAACAATTAAGCATGTTGGATATCTTGAAACCTACTGCCCTATAGTCATATTACTTGGGAGTCATTAGCCTAAAACTCGTTGTAAGGATCATTAAGTATGTTTCATGAAGATAAGTCTACACACAAGATATATATATAAAATGAGAGAGTTGTCTAAAAAGAAAATTTTAATTTTTCCGTCACATGTGTTGCATAAATTTTTATAATTTGCCCATGTATTTTTTTCATTCCCCTTTGTGTTATTCATGAGTATGTTGCTAGTCTTCCTTTGTTATTTGTGACAAAAAGGGGGAAGAGTTAGTATTTATTTTAGAGAGATGATAAATATATGAGTTAGGGGAAGAAATTTTGAAAATTTGACTAGCGTGAATAGATATTTTGCTTATTGATATTATGTTACGTATTTTGTATAGTATTAATATCATTATTTTGTGTTGCTAGTTCAGTTATGTATCTCAGCTTGTCCTGTTTAGATTCTAAATTATTTGATGCTCATAGTACATCTGTTGTGTTATACATATGTTATTTGAGTTATTTATCTTAGTTAAATGTTTATTATAAGTTCCCTCTTGCTTTTTATGTGATATTGTTATATTGATGTGTTCCAAGAAACAGGAATGACAAGATTTGAGTTAAAGTTTGAAAATTAAGTCTTTTGGGTAGATTGTTAAGTTATTTTTGATTTTGACTTTGAAATAAACAATTTTGTTGTGGGAATTCGAAAGGATGAGTTTGTCAAGTATCTATTTATAATTAAAATCAAAACGCCAATAGATTGGTAGTATAGTTTTTGAAGAAGTCAAACAGCTCAAAAATGTCCAAAAAGATTACATATGATCAATGAAATGCTATTAGAAGACAAAGGAGCCTCAAAATGCTGCAAAACTCATGCTCCAAATTCTCAGTCACAAGTTGCGACGCATTTTTCACATAGAAAACAATCGAATTTTAAATATTCTACTTCTAGAAGAGTTGTAATCCTTTGAGTTAGCTTTCCAACAGCGCACTTTAAATCACCTCAATCTGATATCGGAAGAGAAAGATATGATGAAAATGCTGACGGGCGCTCATAGATTGTTCATTGGCCATGAGGAAGGCGCTCGAGGGGTCGGCTTTTTGGGACAAAATTCTATTCACGATTTTAATAGATTTTCCACTCCTATTCATTCTCAAACATTTCATATTATAAATACTTAGGCCTAGTCCATCCCCAAGATGTGTTAGATCATTATTTTACAGTAGAGATAATATAATTGAAGATTCAAATTGCATTCCAAAGATCTCTAGATTCAACCACTTGATCAATTATTCATAATTCATCCCAAACATTGTTTAGAATTGGTTGAGCCTTAATTTTAGTCAAGAGAACATCATTTGAAGATCAAATACATATTTCAATATTTTCTTCTCTCAGCAACAGATTAAAGCATAGAAAAATCAAAAGATCAAACACCGAAAATCCTACCTTTACCTATAGGCCTTTATAGTTTTGAAGTAGAAGAAAAGGCACTGGGAGTTCAAACACTTCGGAACGAGTTCGTTTTTAGTGATTTACACATAGAGAAAGTAGCCAGAGTCGTTGAAAAGTGTGGGTTGCACACTCAAAAGAGTTCTTTGGTAATTTACAAGTTAAATGCCCAGAGTTAGCTCATGTTTAGCAGGGTGTGGACTAATTATAAGTTAACTTTTCTAGTGAATTTTACTAACAAATTTGCTCGGAGGTTTTTTTTATCACGAGAAGGGTTTTCCTCCGTGATCATATCTAGTATTATTTACATGATTGCGTTTGATATGTACAATTATGTGATTGTTTAAACTTGGATTTAATTGGATTAATAATGTTAATCATCTATAATCAGTAAACAATGACTTCATTTTAACTTGTAAGTCTTAGGAATTAAATTGTCTACAAATAATTGATAAGGCATGTTATTGGTGCCTAGGAGATTATTTCTGATGAAATAATAAATAGTATACAATATAATCATAACATCGATGTATGAACAAACAAAATATCAAACAACAATAATAAAAAGGTGGTTATATTAGCGCCACAATTTTTGTTTCATAAACCATATTTTAATTGCAATTAAGCTCCCTAGCCTTTGCTTAATGTAACACTTATTTTCTTAAATTTTCACAATTGAGTTCTTATAGTCAACATTCAATTAATTAGAACGTACTGTTCTTGATGATGATTTAATCAAAATACTTTGTTTTCATTGTTTAAAATGAGGAAGAATTAATTTTCCGCATTTTTTGTTTGTTTAATTTTTAAAAGTATAATAAAAAATAAGTTAGATTACATCATTTTAACAAACTTTTGTATATGAAATTGTTATTAAATACAAAGCGCAAAAAAGATCCGATGATCATTTCACCATCATCCTCATCAATGCAGGAGTCTTAAGGCTAGAAAGGAGATCAGATAACAATTCAGAGAGCAGATGATTGTATTGAAATAACAAGAACCCTGGCGGTACCAAAAACTGACGCTAAGACTTTTCGGGATAGTATTAGGATCTGTATTAATAAATGGAAAGTTTA